AGTAGATGTCACAATTATACCTTTGGGAAGGCCCAGGAATGAGACTCTCAATTCCACATATTTTCCCACTTCAGATCTAAGAGTCAACAACTCCTGTGAGTTGGGTCCAAGTGCATGAGTCACAGTCTTAACAGTGGGCAGCATCCTCATGTGAGAGCCCCAATCCCTTCTCCAAGCTGTCTCCCAGTAGGGGAGTCACAGCCTCAGTGGTATGCTAAATCCTGGTGGGAGGTCACTATTTCACGTGTGGACTAGATCTGTATATGAGAGACATAATTCCAACTTGTGACTGCCCCTGGGTGTGAGATTCAGAACCTCAATCGTGGGCTGTGTACATGTGGCAATTTCTACTTTTGGCTGTGTTATATAAGACTCTCAATCTCACCTGTGTGCTGGGCCCTGTTATGACACTCTGTACCACCCAAGAAGTTTATTCAATAAGCACGGGTGTCATAATCCTCTGTGATCTTCGTACAGGTAGAAGACCTTAGGCATTACCCATTGCCTTAGGCAGAACTATGAGAGTCAAAATCTCTCTTTTGGCTGGGTCCATGTGTAAGAGTTATTGTAATGCCTGTGAACTTGGTTCAAGTATATGTCATCTCAACAGTGGAAATCACCAGGCAGATGCAGTGAGAGTTGAGATGGAAGGAGGGCTGTGATGTTCTCTGTGAGGGTGTAATCATTATTGTCTTGGGGCTATTTCTAGATATTGTCAAACAAAATAAATCTAGATGTAGTAAGAAGTGACTTTGTTCTAAAGGAGTATTGCAATGGGGGAAGCGCCAAGCATAGTATCTGCAAACATCTCAAAAGCTAAGCAGAAAAGGGCTGTCTTTCATATGAAGGAGCAAAGATGATTTTAAAAATGTCGGAGAGAAAGGGCAGAATGGATGGTGGCAAAATCAATTCAAGATAAGAGCATGTTTCACCCTGAAGTCAGCCTGTTCTTGGAAGGGGCATAAAGAGGGATTGTATGTTTGCTCAGACTCTACTGGAGGAAAACAGAAACTTAAGCAAAATTTTATTAACAAGTATGTTCTTCTGAACTCTGAAGACAAAATTATTTAATTGCTTATGAGAAACAATGGAAATTTAGTCTGTGATTTGTGATATCAAAAGAGGGAATATCATCTAGGTCAAATAGTAAGGGTATTGCTTTGCAGTAAGCTGTTCTTACAGAACACAAAGGATTAGAGAGTTTTCTTAATCATCACTATTTATCAGGACTCTACTCATCATTCTTTTTTACTTTTATTTGCCCTATACATTTTTTCCCATTTGGCCTTTCCTGAATTGTATTTTTCAAAATAACCTGGTAAGCACAGCCAAAGTGTCATGCCAGGTACCACGAGTCATTTCATTCCATTGTTAAACTTGAGGGAGAGGGTTATGGAAGCCCATGATTTGTAGATAGCTGCTCAGAAGTATAGATGAACCCCCGGTGGTTGGGACTGGCATGTGCAGTGGGGACAGTATTGTGAGACTGAGTTTTAACTTGTGGTGTCTATGTGAACCCTGGGTGGTGTCAGAGTTGAGTTGTGGAACACCCAGTTGATGTTGAAAAATTGGCTGGTATCCAGCAAACTCCATATATCTGGTGTTAGAACAAAGGCATCACAGCAGCCTTGGCTGGGGGAATACCGTGGGTCTTTGGGAGAATGAAGACTCTATTCTTTTACACACAAGCTGTTGTACTGTAAATTTTCCTGTGATTCTGTGTCTCATCCAGGGGTCAGAAAGAACTGAGGACTAAAAGGGATGGAGTTCTGAGGACAGACTCCTCTCCCCATCCTGCTCCTATAAAGTGATTCCTGAACACTCACATACATGCACGCTAAGCAAGGATGTAGCTACACCCCTCCCATGACAAGGCTTCACCCTCAAGAATTGTGCTGAGAGAATCTCTGCTTCTAGAGTCTCCCACTAATAGGCTACATAAATGCCCAGAAAACTCATTGCTTCTTCTATGTCCCAGACCTTGAATCTGTATTAGTTACATCTTTTCTCCACTAGCCTTGGCTTCTGGGCCACCTGTCTCTCTCATTTGCCTGCATACATACATTTATACGTCAGAGCTACCCTGCCTGGGCCAGTATCTACAGCACTAACCACCTATTTCACCAACTGTGCACTGTCCCCTACCCGTGGATGTGTGTGTGTGTGTGTGGCACTTTCCCTTATTCTGTTTTTTTCTTCTCCACAAATCCTCTCTCACAAACCCAAGGCCACACCCCACGTGCCTGAATATAAACCATACTAGAAATCAAATATCTATGAGTTTAGATTAAAATATTAGGGCCCGTTTATTGTAACAATAAATGCAAAACAAAAATAGGAGACTTAATTCTTCAACTTGAAAATAAAATAAGATTGTCTATCTACTCTTTTTTTCTTAAAGCATTTAATTTAGGTAATTTTATATGTACATTCTATGCGTTTTTAGACAGAGGCTCACTCTTGCCAGGCTGGAGTTCAGTGGCACGATCTCGGCTCACTGCAACCTCTGCTTGCAGGATTCAAACAATTCTTCTGCCTCAGCCTCCCGAGTATCTGGGACTATAGGCGTGTGCCACGATGCCCAGCTAATTTTTGTATTTTTAGCAAAGACAGGATTTCACCATGTTGACCAGGATGATCTTGATCTCTTGACCTCATGGTCTGCCTGCCTTGGCCTCCCAAAATGCTGAGATTACAGGTACGAGTCACAGTGCTTGGCCAGCTTTTGATCTTTTTGTTGTCTTTCAAGTATCTATTAATTTTTCTCTGGTCTAATTTTAATTTTTTTATTATGCTAACATTGATATTATTTAGTTGTTTTACTTTAAGTTTTGTGTGGATTAAAGTTATGGTGTTTACCTGAGATCGTTCTGTATCTTAGTATATAAATATATCGTTATACATTTTTGTCTTAGAGTTGCTCTTTTGTGTGGGTAACACCCCCCATGGGCACCGAGGAAGGAGAACTGTGCAGACCCCAGGTACAATTAGTGCCTGGAGAATATCTTAGTTTATAGTGTTACTACTCAGCTATTTCCTTTATATAATCCTTTATATATAATTATATATTAGTTTATAGAATTAATGCCTGAAGTATAACTCACTGCTTACATATATCTAACTTGTATAATCAATACTTATATCTAGCATGCTTAGTTCTATATAATCTTTCTATATAATCACATAGGTATTGTAGTTGGAGGTGTACTGACACATTTAGTGCTGATTCATAGAATCGTTCTATATAACCATGTAGTAGTTTGTAGTAGGAGCAGTCACAGAACAGAAGCAGGGAAAACAGCTAGACCAGGACAAGAACCAAAGACTCAGGCGGTGGCGTCCCTGCCTGAAAGGGCATACGCTGTATGGCAGGCTTGGAGCAAGAGCCTCTCCTCCTGATAAAGGAGTTATAGTACCTTGCATCCAGTTCCTGTGGAAAGTAGGCCTCAGGCCCTGAGGCCTGAGCTGTTTTAGGTTTCCCGGAAATAACCGAGGGAGAAGAACCCCTCTGGTGTGACCAGTCATGGCAGCTGTACACCCTGTCAGTCTTTTCTCACTTCTATGCTAGCTCAAATCATCCTCCCATAAATATCTTAAGAGAAGACCACAAGTCTGTCAGCTCCTACTGCATTGGCTTACAGTATCCTTCTATTAGAAATCCTTTGAAGCCTCCAGCCACCAGATAAGAAGTGTTGCACACAACACCTGTTACACACAGCCCACCTCCTTGCCTCGTGACCTAATGGAGGTGGACCCCTTTTCCGTACACAACCCTTTACTACTGTGCATGGCACGGCCCCCTACTGCGCACAGCCCACTTCTTTCCCCACGTGACGTAATGGGGTGTCCCCCTCACTGTGACTCAGGTGATTATGTATGGCCTATTACTAAGCTTATAGATGATGACCTCACTCATGACCCTGCCCCTGCTTGTACTTACTAAATACAGATGCTTCTGGGCATTTGAAGCTCTTGCTGATCTCCGCTGACAGGTGATGTGGCCCCCCCGAGTCCAGATGCTCTTCACCAGTTCTTCAGTGTCCTGTCTCTTTACTTCTCGGATCCTGCACCTCAAAACAACTTAAGAGACACCCCATGACCCTGTGGGGCCCTACAGCCCTACACTTCTGAATCACAGAGGTTTTGTTATGTTGTGTTTCCATTTTCTCTTTTTGCTTTTGAGATGGAGTTGTGCTCTTGTTGCCCAGGCTGGAGTGCAATGGCATGACCTTGGCTCACTGCATCCTCCACCTCCCAGTTCAAGCCATTCTCCTGCCTCAACCTCCCAAGTAGCTGGGATTACCGGCATGTGCCACCACAACCAGCTAATTTTTTGTATTTAGTAAATACGAGCTCTCAGCACGTTAGTCAGGCTAATCTGGAACCCCTCAGATGATCCACCTGCCTCAGCCTTCCAAAGTGCTGGGATTACAGCATGAGCCAGCGTGCCTGGCCATGTTTTCATTTCATTTTCCCCAAGACGCTTTTTTATTTCTATATAACGCACTGGTTACTCAGAGACATTTGTTTAATATCCATGTATTTGTGAGCTTTTCAATTTTCCTTCTGCTGTAATTTCTAGTTTTTAAAAAGTGATTTAATAAGTCAATATAATTTTATCTATTTGAATTTGAAGACTTTATTGTTATTGGCCCAACATATGATGTATCCTGAATAATGTTCCATGTGTGCTTGAGAACAATGTGTATTCTCATACTGTTGGGTGAAATATTCTGTATATGTCTGTTAGGTGCACTTGTTCTATAGTGCCGTGCAAGTACATTGTTTCCCTACCAGCTTTCTGTTGAAATAATCTATTGTTTTAAGTAGGATAATAAAGTCCCCTATTTTTTTTTTTTTTTACAGTTCTATTAATATATGTTTCTATATTTATGTATTCCAATGTTGGGTGCACATATATTTTATTTTATTTTATTTTATTTTGGCAAATTAGTCTCTTACCATTATATAATAAACTTCTTTGTATCTCCTGACACTTTTTTTTTCTAGAAGCCTATTATGTCTGATATAAATATAGCCACTCCTACACCTTTTTGGTTATACTTTGCCTGATATATTTTCTTACCTTTTAACTGTTAACCTATGTGTGCCCTTAAATCTAAAGTAAGTCTCTTGTGTGAAGCATACTGTTAAACTTTTAAATCTATTTAGACATTCTGTGAATGTTTTAGTTTATTTTCTGGGTAATTTATAAAGAATAAAAGTTGGCTTAGCTGATTGTTTTGTATGCTGGAAGTCCAAGAGCATGCCATTGCCACCTGATGAGAACCATATTTCCACGTCAGGAAATGACCAAACGCATGAGGAGGACAGAAGCTGTACACCAGAGAGCTTACCTCTATAATTCACTCTCCTGACAAGTAAACCGCTCTGGAAAAAATAACATTCATTCATTCATTCATTCATGAGAGTAGAGCCCTCATGACCTAATATGTTCTTAAAAATCTAACTTTCTAATTTTGAGCTGCCTGGGCAGGCTGGGAGGCGCGGGTTGAAAGTCTCCTTCCAAGTTTGGAGAGAGAGAAGAGCGCCTCAGACCTTGGTACCCACGAGTGGGGAGGAGGCAGGAAAGAAGGACGTGGCGTCTGGGGAGCACCCAGGCCGCAAGACAGGGCCCGGGCTTTCGTGAGTGGGAAGTGTGTGACGCGCTTGGGAAACGCAGGAGCACCAGTGGTCGGGCTGCTCTCGGCTAAGAGGGGAGTCCTAGGCGGCGGCGAGGGGCGAAGGACCCCACGCAAAATGGCAAGTAAAGAGATGTTTGAAGATACTGTGGAGGAGCGTGTCATCAATGAAGAATATAAAATCTGGAAAAAGAATACACCGTTTCTATATGACCTGGTTAGGACCCATGCTCTTCAGTGGCCCAGTCTTACCGTTCAGTGGCTTCCTGAATTGACTAAACCGGAAGGAAAAGATTATGCCCTTCGTTGGCTAGTGCTGGGGACTCATATTTCTGATGAGCAGAATCATCTGGTGGTTGCTCGAGTACATATTCCCAATGATGATGCACAGTTTGAAGCTTCCCATTGTGACAGTGACAAGGGTGAATTTGGTGGCTTTGGTTCTGTAACAGGAAAAATTGAATGTGAAATTAAAATCAATCACGAAGGAGAAGTAAACCATGCTCCTTACATGCCGCAGAATCCTCATATCATTGCGACAAAAACACCATCTTCTGGTGCGTTGGTTTTTGACTACACAAAACACCCTGCTAAACCAGACCCAAGTGGAGAATGTATTCCTGATCTCAGGTTAAGAGGTCACCAGAAGGAAGGCTATGGTCTCTCCTGGAATTCGAATTTGAGTGGACATCTCCTAAGTGCATCTGATGACCATACTGTCTGTCTGCCGGATATAAACGCAGGACCAAAGGAAGGCAAAATTGTGGATGCTAAAGCGATCTTTACCGGCCACTCAGCTGTTGTGGAGGATGTGGCCTGGCACCTGCTGCACGAGTCACTGTTTGGATCTGTTGCTGATAATCAGAAACTGATGATATGGGACACCAGGTCCAATGCCACCTCCAAGCTGAGCCACTTGGTGGATGCACACAGTGCCGAAGTCAATTGCCTCTCATTCAATCCCTACAGTGAATTTATTCTAGCCACGGGCTCTGCAGATAAGATCGTAGTTTTATGGGATCTGCGTAACTTAAAATTAAAACTCCATACCTTCGAATCTCATAAAGATGAAATTTTCCAGGTCCACTGGTCTCCACATAATGAAACTATTCTGGCTTCAGGTGGTACGGACTGCCGCCTGAATGTGTGGGATTTAAGTAAAATTGGGGAATAACAATCAGCAGAAGATGCAGAAGACGGGCCTCCAGAACTGTTTATTCATGGAGGACACACTGCCAAGATTTCAGATGTTAGTCAGAATCCCAATGAGCCTTGGGTCATTTGCTCAGTGTCTGAGGATAACATCATGCAGATATGGCAAATGGCTGAAAATATTTACAATGATGAAGAGTTGGATGTCACGACATCGGAACTGGAGGAACAAGGATCTTAAACCCAAAGTACGAGAGATGTTTCTGTTGAATGCTTGATTTATTGAAGCCTATGTGGAGAAACATGGATAAAATATTGATACCTGACATGGTGGTGCATGAATTAGTTTAAACTCTGGTTTCTACATGAATGCTTGATTTATCAAGCGCCAAAGGCTTTGTATAGTAGAAAATATAAGTGGGGTGGCTTCTGGCTTCTTTATCCTCTGATTCTAGCACTTTCAAGTGAGCTGTTGCGTACTGTATCATATTGTAGCTATTAGGAAAGAGATGATTGTTGCTTAAGAAAGAACATCACCATTGATTTAAAATGCAAGTAGCAGCATACTGCCTTTGATTCAACTGTTTTAAGTCCTCATTTTCTCAAACTAAGTGCTTGCTGTTCCCAAATATGTAAGAGTAACTTTTACACTTTTTCTTTCCAACACTTCTTGATTGGCTTTGCAGAAATAAAGTTTTACAATAAAATGATTTTTTAAAATCTAACTTTCTAATTTTATAATATTGTCAGTTAAATTCAACATGCATTTTTGTGGGGTCATTCAAACCAGAGCATTGTGCTTTTATTGGATAATTAAATCTTTTTATATTTATAAAAAGTATTGATAGATAAGGACTTCTTTCTGCCATTTTGTTAATTATTGTCTGAACATTTAGTAGTTTCTTTGTTCTTTTTTTGTGCTGCCTCCCCTTGCGTTTTGTTGAATGCTTTTTTGTTTTGTTGTTTTTATATGCCTTGATTCTTTTTTGTGTGTGTAACCACCACAATTTTTTTTTGTAATTACAAAAGGCTTACCTACAACATCTCATAGTTATAGTCTAACTTAAAATAAGAATGATTTAACTTCTATGTATAGAAAGACTCAACAATTTTACTCCATTCAACACACTATGTCACACTTTACATTTATTTGTACTGTGAATCTATTAACAAATTATTTAAGCCGTAGGTATTTTTAATACTTTTGTCCTTTAGCCTTCATACCAGAGTTTAGAGTAATTCATGCACCACCATGTCAGGTATCATTAATATTTTATCCATGTTTCTCCACATAGGCTTCAATAATGGTATAATTTAATTTCAATATTTATTTTATATATTATTAATTATAGTGTTATAGAAAATTTACACGTTTTGTTTTGAAATATTAATATTTTCTTATGTTCATATGGCTGTATTATGGCCTTTATATTTTATGTAACAATAGCACCAATATATTAATAGCATAAAGAACTTTAGTGTCTTTTAAATACTTATTAACTAAAATGTGCTATTTTCATTTGCCTTTTATGAGTTATTGTAATGCATTTTCTGATTTAAAAA